ATTCATCCAACCAAGCTTTCCCACTGCTTCGCTTGTCTAGCCTTGCAGCCGCGCGGACAGTACAGATAAAGGAGACGAGAAACGACTCCAGCACACCGACTGACTCCCGCCTCGCTATCCATCCCCACGGTGTTCCCCTGCCCTGTACCGCTACTGCAGGTGGAGGCTGAGATCGCCCAAGCAAGTCAGCCCTACCTTGCTCTGTTTGGACTTTGGATCCGTGCCCGCCAGGAGCACATCTCTCAACACCACCTCAGGAGTACTCTCCCCTTCTACGTGGTGCTATCTGGCATAGCTTCCAGTCATGTCTAGCTACTTGACAAACTTCTTCCCCAGCGGCGGGAAGCAGGATGGTACCAGGCCGCAGACCCCCATGAGGCCGGGCACCTCGAGCTTCGTCAACCCCGTCAGCACACCTCAGGGGAGTCCCAGCAAGAGGACCCTCCCGCCTGGCGCCAATGAGCTGCCTGCCGCGTTCGAGTCTATGAAGCTTTCAACGCCCACCAAGCTTGCGACGTCATCCAGGCCCGGCACCTCATCCAAACTCGGGACCCCAAGTGCCCTCGACAGTCCCATCAAGCTCGGCCGTCCCCAGAGTGTGGCCACGCCTCTCTCGCCTGGAAAGAGCAACCTCAAAGACGTGGGCGATGATACCTTTGAGGACCTCACAGGCAATGGCAGTGCTGTTAGTGTCGTCCACAAGCAGGTGGACAAGAACTTGCCGAAACCTTACCCTGTGCCCACTCCCAGGAGAAAGGAAAGGGATCAGAACCAGGAGAACACACCACCAGTCGTGACCCGCGACCCCCGCGACCCCCGCGACCCTGCCACTGAGCCAACATATCAGCGCAGCCATGCTGCCCTCTCCCGACAGGAACTTTACCAGACAAGAGAGCGCGCCTCACCCACGGTCAAGAGATTTAACACGTCGAGAGGCCTCACTCCCGAGGAGCGCGAGCTACTAAACAAGCCCAATGTCAAGCGACTGGTCAACGTGACCCAGCTGTGTAAGGATCATGACATCATGTTGCTCTTTGCTGGTGCTAATTGTTGATAGACTTCCTTGACTACTACTTTGACCTGCTCACCTATGTCGGACAACGACAAAACCGTCTGAATGCCTTCAAGGCCGAATTCCCCCCACCACCCGAGACCGACGAGGAGACGTACAAGCAAATGTGGCACAAGTACGCTGGTCGGGAACGTGCTAATCTCCGCAAGCGACGAGTGAGACTGCGCCAGGGCGACTTCCAAATCCTTACCCAGGTCGGTCAAGGTGGATACGGACAGGTCTTTTTAGCCCAGAAGAAGGACACCAAGGAGGTTTGCGCGCTCAAGGTGATGAGCAAGAAGTTGCTGTTCAAGCTGGACGAGGTGCGACATGTGCTGACGGAGCGAGACATCTTGACAACCGCCAAGAGCGATTGGCTGGTGCGCTTGCTGTACTCCTTCCAAGATGACAAGAACATTTATCTTGCCATGGAGTACGTGCCGGGGGGCGATTTCCGCACCTTGTTGAACAATACTGGCGTGCTCTCAAACCGGCACGCTCGCTTCTACATTGCCGAGATGTTTTGCGCGGTCGATGCCCTTCATCAGCTGGGTTACATTCATCGCGATCTCAAGCCGGAGAACTTCCTAGTCGACTCGACTGGCCACGTCAAGCTCACCGATTTTGGCCTGGCGGCTGGTTTCCTTGCCCCTGCCAAGATCGAGTCGATGAGGATTCGCTTGGAGAAGGCATCTGAGACCTCGGTGCCGTTTGGCAAGCCGATGGACCAGCGAACCGTTGCCGAGAGAAGAGAGGGCTACCGGACAATGCGTGATCGGGATACCAATTACGCCAAGTCGATTGTTGGATCTCCAGACTACATGGCCCCGGAGGTGCTGAGGGGCGAGGAGTACGACTATACTGTCGATTACTGGAGTCTGGGCTGCATGCTCTTTGAGGCTCTGACAGGTTTCCCGCCTTTCGCAGGATCTACCGCAGACGAGACTTGGCGCAATCTCAAGCACTGGAAGGAGGTTCTCAAGCGTCCGGTCTGGGAAGACCCCAACTACTTCCTCAGCAACCGGACATGGAGCTTCATCACGACGTAAGTATAGTGTGACAAGAAGATATGGAGCGTAGATGCTAACCAGCTTATAGTTGCATCAACTCCCGATCGCGGCGCTTCAACAACATTAAGGATATTTATGCCCACCATTACTTTGCCGAGGTCGACTGGGCCATTCTGCGCGAGACTAAGGCTCCGTTCGTGCCCGAGCTGGACTCGGAAACTGATGCCGGCTACTTTGACGACTTCAGCAACGAGGCTGACATGGCCAAATACAAGGAGGTGCATGAGAAGCAGCAAGCGCTTGAGGGTCTGGCTGAGCGTGGCGAGGAGATGAACAAGAGCTTGTTCGTCGGGTTCACGTTCCGTCATCGCAAGCCGGCGACGGATGATGGCGCGAGTCCGAGGAAGCCAATTCCATTTGAGGAGAGCAACAATTTTGGTACGATGCTGTAGAGCCAGCACCGGCAACAACAGGACGAAGAGGAGTGGCAGGAGCCATCATCGCAAATTTTGTTTCAGCATGACGAGGGCGAGAGTATTTTAATTTGTGGGAATTGCGGTACGGATACATGGGATGGTCGATACCCGTTGTCGAGTAATATGGAAAGCCCTTCGCGCCGGTCCCGGTGGACCACGGCAGATGGTCAACAGATGTATGCAGGGAGAGAATACGACTTGCTGTGATTGGCATGAGAAGGGATGGATTCTGTCAGAGTATCAAGGGAGGCCGAGTAGGGAGGGGGGTTATCACCATTATCTGGCTTACAACAGAAAGAGAGCATAGCAAGCAAGCAAGTGATAGGTAGCAGAGTAGGGAGTATTGCAGCAATGAAGAGCCTCCAGTTTACAAGGCTGAATGCAGTGGTGACTCGCTTCAGCCTCGAGGGTTGGTAGGACAGTAATGGACCGCGTAATCAGACGTCCGTCAGGGTACACCTACAGCAACAATTGGGATGCTGCAAGTAAGCCTTTAGCATATCCCAAAATGGCATTGGTGCCACGAGGGCGGCGAAGTTGGAGAAGAAAGGATTCTCGGGACCGGGCCGTTGGAGTCGTCGTCAGCGGTCTCGATGTAGCCGGTATGGTACCTAGGGCAGAAGAAAGAAAGAAAGAGAGGAAGGGGATACCTATGATCTCACCATGGATAGACGGAACCCTGCGAAGATCCCGTCCAGGGAAGTTCAGGCGTTGAAACGCTAACACACTCCTCCTTCAGGGGGGGCGTTCAGCCCTATTACGTGGGGAAAACGTCCTCCACTATCAACCGCATTCTGTGCATAAACAATCTACATTTCCATCACCGTCTCCAATCAACAGAAACCCGAGCTCGAAAACGACATGCTCCGGACGCTTCAAGACACCGATGCCCGATGAAAAACGAACCAGGCAGGACATGACCAGACGCGGCCACCTGAATTATTCCTGCGCAGCGTCGGCCGCTGACCGAGGCTAGGATGTCTTGCGCCCGCCGTTACGGACATTCCCCAACTTATCAAACGCCACTCACCCGGCACCACAGTCCTGGGGGTTGGGCTTCAAACCTCTGGGGTCCCAGTCATGACGCCCCTCTTACACCACACCAGGTGGCATCAGAAACCTCCCATTGGATCTGTGCCAGCCGACCCTCATCATCTTTTTCTGGGGTCCTGAGCGGGCCCCCCTTGTTGTTACCCTCCCGTTCCGTCCCTTCGGTCCCGAGCTTACGGCAAGGGAAAGGGAGAGGGAAGTGTGAATGATCACATACAACCTCGTCCTTGACAAACAAGGGAAAGCTGCTGATCCCTTGGAAAAGTGGCTGTCTCGGGTAGAGGGGGGTTACGCGTCTTCATCGAATAATGCTCTCGTCTGATGTAGTAAGTAAGCACTGTTGACAACTGACAACCATCAGCATCTCCAACGGCATCTTGGGTTTTGTTTCCCTCTCGGCGCCGAACTTCTTGTCTGGCGGTTTCTTTTTAGACTCTGATGATTTCCAGAATAGGAAATCAAGATCTATCTATCTGTCTTTGGCCGATGTTCGGAAGCATTACCCGCCTTCTTTTTTTGCGGATGTACAAGGTGGAAATCCGAGAGGGAGACGCGCAAGCATACCTAACTCTCTCCATTCCACCAATCCATCCTATCTCACCCCTGCCGTTTCCATTCTTCCCTTTCTTCAAGCTGTCTGTTCAAGTTAGGTAGTCTGAGTAGGCATGAAGATATGCCACAGAATGAAAAGATAATCGGATTCTTTCTGAAGCCTCAATTCCGATTCCGAGAAGACCTTGCTTGTGGGTAAGACGCCGCGCGTCTGATCTCATGGCACATAGCTAGTCCCGTTTACGATGTTCAATGACGGATGGGAGTGGCCAAGGTAAGTAGGTACCCCCGTGCCCTACGTACAGCTGGGCTTGTACCTAACATTATGCACAGTTGACTTTTGGAAAGGAATATCTGGATGTACGCGCAAGTGCATGCCTTATGTCCATGTTGTGTACCCTGACACTCACCAGCCCCATTTCATACAGCTGATGAGCCTTCCATTGGTATTTTCCCGCTTACAACTCGGGTTCTTTCAGTATGTATGGTTGGCTGTGACCAGGACTGATGTATAATCTGCTGTCTGTCGGGCTGCCAGGTACCTACCCCCTACCTGACAGGTTTCCTCGCCCTTGGGGTGCGGTCCATGGTAAACCGTAGGCAGGGTCCCGAGACATGTTGGTCCGATGTATAAAGCGGCTCGGCTGTGCTACTCTCTACGATCCCGTATCATATGTATATATATGTTGGGTACGCTCTATCACTCCCATTTTCGTATCTTGGCTTTTCCTTGTTTCAGGCCAGCCTGACGTTCTTCTCATTCATCTTCAAGATTCTCACCATAAACACTACTCACATATATTCCTCTACCCTTCACAGCGCACAACCATCAGTCAATCACCCAGCAAAGACCAAAACAAAATGGAACGACATCAGCTCCGTCCCCAAATCCTCACCTACACCTCCATGGCCCTCCTAGGCATGCTCGGTCGTACCAATGCCTGGTGGGGTGCCGGAGCCCCCGAGTGCGCAGTAAGTTTTCCCCCTCCCTTTCTCCCCTCCTCTACCACTCAGGTACCTAACGCTTCACCCAGCAACCCTGCCTCTCCTCAGCCTGGTCCGCCGCCAGCACCACCTCCTGGCCCGCCCCAACAGACTGGTGCGCATCCGACTCCTCTGACATCCGATCCCGCAAGGACGCCGCATCCTCCTGTCTCGTCTCCGCCTGCTCCGCCACGCCCACCGTTCACTCCTCCTACTCCTCCCTCTCTTCCTCTCTCTGCGCCCAATATTCCTCTTGCTCCTCCGCCGGCTCTACAGGCGTTTACACCGTCTCCCTCCCTGCTTTCACGGGCGCCTGGGACGGCAGCCACGATGACGGTCCCATTGGCGGCTGGTGGCAGGGCGGCGGGCACGGAGGTCCAACGGGAACAGGAACAGGCCAATGGGGTCCCCACCATGGCTGGGCCGGCACCGCCACTTGGACTGGTGGCGTGTATACCGTGACAGGATGTGAATGGGATGGATCACCCTGGGCTGGCGGGCCGTGGGGATGGGGTCATGGTTATGGTCACGGTGATTATGGTAATGGCCAAGCTAATGGACCTTGGGGCATATGGGGCGCGGGATGGACTTTGACGAGCACGGGGACAGAGACCGTCACGGCCGTGCAGACCATCACGAGGGATGCGACGGGTGGGGATGGGAGTGTGACGAAGGTGATGGAGCTTACGACGAGTACGGGGTTGGCGACGGTTGGGTATGCGGTGAATGAGGAGAGTAAGGAGGAGGCGACGACGGTGTTGGGGGTTGTGCAGGCTGCGGCTAGTACGACTGGGAGTGGTAGTAGCGGTGCGGCGAGTGTTGGTTGTGCTGGTGCGGGTGTGGGAGTTAAGGTTGGGGCGGCTGTGTTGGGGGGGATTGTGGTGGTTGCTGGGTTGCTTTGATTTTTGAGAGAGGGATGAGGCTAGGTTTGGGATTTGAGGTTGAGATGTCTTATGTTCATTGGAGTTTGGGTGATACGATGCTTGTGGAGGACACTTTTTCGATGCTCCCTTGGTATGGGGAAAAGCTTACTTTTAGCAAGGAAGTGCTTTGCCGAGTGTACTCCATCATGTGGCAGGTTTGATAATTTCAGTCCCTCCTCTGTTTTGTATTTAGCTTGTTTGTCTCTGCCTCTTGACGAGATACCATTTACCTGATGCTGACGACCGCTTGCAAGCCTTATTGTTCGTGGCCCACCACCCCGTTCAATGTGATGTTTTTATTCATTCCCATCCAAGTTGGGCATGCCCTCTCCTCTATTCTTCTTTCGGCAAGCGTCTTCTTGCTGCGGATGGTTTGTATTCGACCTACTGACTACTACTCACGTCATTTGACAGACAGCTCTGGGGGCTGTGTAAGTACTAAGCCTACCTATTGGAACCTCCTCGATTCCGTTCATGCTACGTTGGGCAGACGGTAAGGCTGCCTACTCACCAATCCACATTGCAAGTTTATAAAGGCTTTCTTCTTCCCATCAACTATTTCTTACCTTCTTCAGATGCACTCGTTGTCTGACATGGAACATCACCAGAACCAAACGTCGACAATAAAGTCAAGCTCATTGAAGATGGAACACCAGCTGGGAGAACAATGTCGCCTATTTCCAGCGTCTTTCTGGATCGCACCATACTCCGAGGTCGACCTGGTGGTGAATGTAAAAGAGTTGGAAGCAGAGGCCGGAAAGGGCTGTCACTTTTGCCAAGTCCTTGCTGCGTGGCGAATGAAAGGCGACATCTCGAAATTTTGCTCATACAAAATCAGCAAGCTTGACCGGAGTATGCCTCTCGGCGGTCCCCGCGGCTTGATATACTTCGGGTTGATTCTCGAGATAAGAGACCCTTGGCCTCAGTTTCTCGATGAGGGCGAGGATCTACATAGTAGGTGCCAAGGTGTGTTGTGACATGATTTCCGTTGAGGATGGTTCTCAAGCTCATATACATACCTTTCTACGACAGAATTGATTGAGTGGCGGCGTCAGAACACCTCACAAAAATGTGGAACTCTGTTCAGCCCAGTGCGCTTGTCTACACACTTTGGCGAAGCTGCTACTAGGTAAGTGTAGATGTTGATCTTCAAACTTTACGTCTCTAGGTAGCTGACAGTGACTGCAGAGGCTACCCGTATCAGCTCCGCTACGACGTGACGGACTCACTTATCTGGCTTCAAGACACAAAGAAGGGAAGCCCTGAAAGTTCCTCTGCGTCCTGCGAGGCTATGGAGTATAGCGTGGCACTCATGAAGACGTGGATTAGTAGATGCGAGCAGAAACATGGAGATGCTTGCCGCGCAGCATTGGCCGTTCAGGACTTTATACCCACCAGACTTCTTGATCTCCAAGCATTCGAACGCGGCGAGCCATTTACTTACAGAGACGACGTCAAACTTGTTGATTTACGACAAGACACATTAAACCACAATGACAGACAGCCGCCGTATCTGACATTAAGTCACTGTTGGGGACCCCCCGAAAAACGACCTGCGACTACAACGAGAGCAAACTTGGCGGCGAATATGAATAGGATCCTATTCTCAAGTCTGCCAAAAACTTTTCAGGATGCAGTCGAAATTACACGAAGATTGGGACAGCGGTACCTCTGGATTGATTCGCTCTGCATCATACAGGACGATGAAGCAGACTGGGCGCACGAGGCATCGCTAATGGCCAAGGTATACACCCATTCTTATTGTACTCTGGCGGCTCTTAGCTCCAGCGACAGTAGCCAGGGGCTCAATATGGTACGGCCGGATTTTCTGCTGAACCACGAGATACGTGGCAATCAAAACGACCAGTATCGGGTGCAAGCATGGAAGGGAACAAGATCAAGGTGGTCGGGGGAATACTACGCTTCAAGAGATCAGAGCCCTCTTCGGTATCGGGCTTGGACGCTCCAGGAAAGGGAACTTTCAACAAGAACCATACATTTCGGACATCAGCAACTACTATGGGAGTGCCTGGAGGGAAAAGCATGTACCCAACACCCTTGGCCTTTGTTCGATCGAGGCCAAATGACATTGAGGAAGGCTATGGCAAGTACGTCCGAGATCACGGTGGATCAAGCAAAGGAAATGCGGATGAAATGGCAAAACCTTGTCGAGGAGTACTCTGGCCGGTCCTTGGCAATTCCAACCGACAAGCTCATTGCCCTCTCTGGAATCGCACACTCCTATCAGGTTCTGTTTCCCAACGCAAAGTACGTGGCTGGACTCTGGAGCACACATATGCCCCAATGTCTGCTCTGGGCCAGTCCTGACAGATCCGCCAGGCGAGTTTCAGAATACATTGCACCAAGCTGGTCTTGGGCATCGCTAAACAGCTCCTCCTCCATTAAGTTCTTACCAGCGCTCTTTTTTCAACCTGACAACGGGTTTCCTGAAGTTGAAGACATGAAGGGATCACCAAAGCATAACGATCCTTATGGCGCTCTTACCGATGCCACGTTGACACTGCGTAACGCTCTGCTTGTGCAATTCGATTCTGGGATCAAGCGTCTCGACGAGGTTTCGGCTTTCAACGAAGGGCTTGAAGAGGAAGATAGGAACCTAGGAGTCCTGATCATGCATGACGTTGCGGCTGGGTTGGCTTACCTTGATGATGTGGATGAGCTGCTTCAGGGTACGGGAGAACTGGTGTGCTTGGTGATTGGCATCGAGGATGTTAGTGGTGACACCAGGAAAACACCTGTAGAGCATTATTTTGCAGGGAAATGGGATTTTTGCCTTGAAGGACTTCTTTTGACAAGGGTTGTACAAGGTGATGCCTCTAGATGTACATATCGTCGGGTTGGCATTGCTCGGTATATCTCAGAATCTTTTAAAGCGGGCTGGGAACCCGGAAAGCTAATACTGATATAACACACGGAAATATGATGCAAAATGAAATATATAGGAGATACACATGCTTGATTAAGCCCTGGTTGATTTTTTTTTTTTTTTTCTTCCTGGTTTTTTCCAGTTCCCTAACAACGGCTTGTTACCAGGAAAATTAGGAATACCCAACATTCGCGCAACATCAACTTGGCCTAGTCTAACTTGACATATCACACCTCGACACCGACTCACTGTCTTCAAACAATATCAAATGATACTATGAGTATCCCAAAATATGCCTACTGCGTACTTTGAGCCTCTAGCACCTTGTCGCCCCAGACATAGCGCATGACAAATGTGAAAGCTACAACCAGAGCTAACCACCATCCGAATGGAGAAGAAACCGAACACGTCACAATGATTACATCACACACAAGGTAAAGTCTCCTCCATCACTCATCCAATGTATTAGTATGTTTATATCTTACCTTCGAAGCCAACCTACCGGCACTTCCTGGTTTCAAGAATTTCGTCCTAAAGGACTCTTGCCGATGTGTTTCTGGGTTATTACAGCCTTTTTCACAGTTTGGTAACGGCTTTTACGGATTATAAATGAGTAGTAATATTCAGCTTTCACGACCGCTCGAATAGCTACATACTTTCTTGCTCAAGGTGTCTAGAGGTAGAAGTGGAGGAGGTGCCGGGTAGGTAGCGCTAGGGCAAATCGAGTGGAAGGAAGGAAGCCATGAGGCGGTAGGTAGTAGGCGATATGAGCATGATACCCCCAAGTTGTGGAAGTCTAGTTGGTTCAAGCGTGCCTCAAGCGTTGCAAGTCATTCTCGGTTCTTTGGAAGCTAGACTTATTTTCGGGGCTGGTTGTTTTTCGAGAGTGTCGTAGTTTGTTTTGTTTGTTTTGTTTTGTTTTGGTGTTGGCGTGACATGGTGCGTTGCTACATACGCTGTGATCCACCGAAACCGCTATATGAACAGTGCTGCAGGGCGCTCTTAGCACACTAATAGTAGAATAGGTAGGTAGGTACCTAGGGTAGTGACGACGAGTTGACGACAACACGCCATTTTGGAAAGGAACGCGACCTATCGTTGTGATCTTTCTCGACACAAAACCATCCCAATCACCCAAAGCAACTTCATTCAACCTTCATATCTGTCCACGGAAACAACAACAAGAAAAAAGCACCATGCCTCCTCCCAGGCGCGGCGCGGATTTGACCCTCTGGGACTGCTTCCAAATCGCCGATCAACATCGCGTCGGCCCCTTCGCGCACCAATACTACTCGCCCAACTATGTGGAAGAATACGACTGGAACCAATTCGATCCCGACTACTTTTCCGGCCCTGAGTTCCAGTCGCTCCCCCTTGAGGAGCAGTTTTGTCATTTTCCCAAGGGCATTGTGGAAAATGTGGACAACTACCTCGACGGCAGAGCCTTGAATAAAATGCTGGCTTACATGGGCGAGTCCAGGGGCGACAGATACGTGAGCTGGCTGGTTGATCATCAGCGCGAGGCATGGCGCATTGCGAAGCGGTTTAATCTGAGACTAGAATCAAGGAGGTCACAGTTAGAGAGGGAGTTGGGGGAGGAGGAAGTGGAAAGGATAAGGGGGGCGATGCAGGCGGAAAAGGAGAGGAAGAAAGCAGTGGCGAGAGAGAGGAGAGAGAGGAAACTCAGGGAACGACAGAGAGAATTAACAAAGCAGCGGGCGGATGAACAGCAAAAAAAGCTACGAGAGGAGGAGGAGGAGAGGAAGAGGAGGATTGCGAAGGAAGAAGACATACGGAAACAAGTCGAGGATGAAGAAGTGAGAGTTCGCCAGGAGCTGGTTGCAGACTTAAACAGCGGGGCTTTAATCTTGAGGCAACAAATTGCAAGATTCTCGGCCAGCGACGAGTCTGTGACTATTGGGGATTGTGAGGGACTCACCGCCCAAATTGGGCGGTTCATCCGGCTCTTTACGCGGCGTCTAAAAGCGCACGCTGAGTCGCAGGTGGGGGAGGTCGACTGGAGGGTGGTACGGGCAGCTGTCGATGGTGTTATCAGCGTGCTCGAGCTAATCTACTTTGAAGATGTCACGGACATCCAAAGAAACTCACACGTGGACTGGAAGGATCCAAATGTCTTGTTCCACGTCATGATGAGCGGTGTTAAGGAAGGATGGGCTTCTTTATTGCGCAGTTTGTGTGAGATCAGAGTCAATCTCACGGTGCATTGGGTCCGCCCGGGAGATGACATTTACGAGAGGTTGCGAGCGGTGCTTGTGAACATGGCTAGGCATGGAATGAGTGACGCGTGGGAGTTGGCAAATGAACTTGATATCTGAGTGCGACTTTAGAGAAGTGGATGTGGATGAATTCCTGCTTGTAACCCTCACAAAGGGAACCTAACTTTTTGTTCTGTCTTTACACTCAAAATTCGTATACTGTTTCCATGTCCTGGCGACAACGCACGTGTTGTATGCATGCCATGAACCATCCCATACAACCTTGCCTCGAGTGCTGCCTCCTTCCTCCCACGTAACAAGTCCTCCTGTTCTCTGGTGTCATTGCTTTCTTTCGCGAGGTGGTTTACTCGCGGTTACTTTGACAAACTCCCAGCGGCAGCACGTACTTGTTGATCCACTCCATCTCTTCATCGCTAAACTCGCGGGTAGAGTCATTTCCGTTCCAAGTGGGTGAATTCAGACGGTCAACGACATCCTGGACGTCGATGATGTAAAGGTCTCTGCCTCTGTAAATGCTCACAGTCTTCCTGGCTGGAGTCTCGGGCATGCCGCGAGCCGCCTCATCCTCAACCAGCTTTGTAAGTTCCCACTTGCGCCTGATGACATGATCGTTAAACCGCCTAGCAATCGTCCAACCCAGACTCTGGTCAGAAGGAACGGCAGAGGCAAGCATGTCAAGAACTGCGAAGGGGGGCAAATGAGAGAGTATCAAGGACACAGTGGCCGTGGACAGATGTCTAAGTGAAGCAGATCTGGCGAAGGGACCCGGGAGTGAGTTGAGACCCTCGACGTCGTTGTTTCTCACACACTCGAGCTTCCGCGGGATAATGAACTCGTTGAAACGCTCAGCAATCTTCCAAGCTTGAGATTGGTCATTGGAGACTGCAGATGTCAATATGTCGATGACCATCGAGAGGGGTAGATAGGAGAGTATGAATCTGAGGTCTTCGGTCGCAATGTGGCTTTCTGGGCTCATTTTGATGGGTTTTGGGAGGGCCGCGAGTTGTTCAGACGCGAACTGGTTGGCGCCAGAATCTGCAGAGGAGGCTCGACGCCGCTTGCGAGGGACCACGGGTGAAGCCATGCTGAGGGGTCAAAGGCCCGGCAAGGAAGACGGATATCTGGTGATGTACTGTGGGATGTGGGCAGCACGATGCTCTCGTCGGCATGGAAACCCCTGCACACGGGGAGATGACAAAAAAACTCTTGTTACAGCGGCAGCGATGACCCGAGTCAACGGAAACAAGAATAAAGAAAGAAAAAGGTTTAGAAAACAACTGTAGTTGGAATCTCAGCTGTTCACTTGAAGGATCGCTGTGGAGGGGTACAGGTTGATGAAAGGAGGGAGAATCAGGTCTCCGCCCAAACGAGTCTCGCCCACAAACGCCCCTTCCATCTGAACCTTGCTTGTTGAATCCGAGGTCCAGCGCAGTTCTTGAACCTGAAGTTTGCGTCCACAGGGCAGAGTGCTGTTCGAAGGGTGAACTATCGGACTGCTGCAGACCTGCCTCGTACCTGCCTGTACTATCAACTCTCTTACCCCACTTCGAAGGAAGACAACAGCAGAAGGCACACCCTGTAAAATGGAAGGAAGCCATAGCGGCAATGACTGGCAGAGAAGGAGCTCAGGTCTGTCAAGGAAGCCACTCCCAAGGTGACTAACTGATTGCGAGTCTGGTTGGCCACAAGAAAAGCTGAGGAAAATCCAAGCCCCCAGGGTCTTTGGTCAGTCTTCTCTTTTGCAGAATCAAGAACTCTCACATATCTTTGGGTCCCAGAGATCTTTTTCTTCACATGAACGAAATCAAGAATTCATTCGGCTCGTCGGTGCTCGACCACGAGTACCTCCCAAAACAAAGCAGATCATTGTGAGAGAAACTGGTTGATTGGTAGGAAGAAGTGGACTGCCAGATCCATCTTAAACATCTTTCAACCAAGAAAATTTGGGCGAGTAAACGACATCCCATTGCTCTCTCCTCTCCCCCCTTCAATGAGAAACCCTACAACTTGATCCCAAAAGGCCTAGCGACCTTCTACATTCTGATCCTATCCATCCCAGCCTGAGTCATCTTCTCGAGTAACATGCCCAACTTGCGATGTAGGTCCTTCTCTGACTTCACCCATTTGACAAGCTCCTTTTTGTCAACTCCCGTCTCGAAGAAGAACTTCAGTAACAAATCCCCAAGCTTCTTTTTGGCGCCATACACCTTCAGCTCGCCCGAAGCTTCCATAATCTTGAAGTGTTCCTGCCCCGACTCTGTAACAACCTTGAGCTCCACGGGCAAATAAACATACTCAAGTACGTCGACAACCCCCATGACCGCCGCCTTCCATAGTCTCCAGTCAACCACCTTTTCCCACCGCATATGTGACTTCAGGTCTCCATAGGCCTTGCGGATGGACCCGTCAACCCGCTCTACTCCGTGTATCTGACACCTTCCTCAGATACTCCTGATCCTGCGCTTTGGCGTGGTCCCCCAACCAAGTAAGCATTAACTGCAGGTCGCCCTCAGAGAGGTACCCATCCGTGTTTTCGACGATGCCCTTGGGTAAACGCAGGAATTGTTCGGCGGGCGAGAGAGCGGCGAAAGAGAGATCGAGCTTGTTGGCATAAGAAGGGTCGAAGGAATCGAAGGGGTACTTCTCGATGTAATTGGGAGAGTAGAATTGGGCGGCAAAAGGTTTGACGCGGGCGTATTCCATTTTGCCCCAGAAGGAAGAAGGGTCTTCGTCGGAGTCGTCGATGGTTTTCATTGTTTTTGTGGGTGGGTGGGTGTGTTGGTTGGACTTATACTGTGTAGGGAGATGTTGTTTTGGAGAGATGGACCATTGAATGAAAGGAATACTTATAAAGGTGAAAGAAGGAGTTGGGAAAACCCCTTTTGTGTAAGTCGTGGAATAAGAAGTTTCGTTGTCGTTGGCGGCATTGTTGATATAAAAACCACGCGCTTCCTATGGGACCACACTGACGCAAAAAAATCGTATTACTTCCGACTGCGTATAATTCAGAACTGCAACTGTAAAATAATAGGCCTTGGCAGTTGACAAGGTAACCGATGCGAGAATACGTGTTGATTACGCTGCGGGAGGCTGAACCGACAAAGCTGCCGTGCATCAAATCAGTCTACTTTTTGTCTCTAGACCATGTCACACACTCCCACATCTCAATACCCAGATGAAGCTCTTCCCAGAAAAGAATATGCAGGCTCTTGTTTTGTCCCAGTTATCAGACCCAAGCTACAGTTATCATAACAACAAGCCGAAACGCTTCCGACCTTGTAAAAAAAGAGAACTCTTAAGCTTTTCTCCTCTTGGGCCTTTCGTAGCTCCGTGCGTACGTCATCATTTCCCTTTCGTTTGTTTTGTTGTGTTTTAGAACCAATCAAGCTTTCCACCAGTTCATGATCAAAGAAGAAACAGGAGATAAAGCAGAAAAAAACATGGAGAGTTCAGCCTGAGACAAACTTGTGACCGAAAGCCCTTGACACATTATCTATCCTCAAAACACGCTACATACTGTCCTATCTTTGATAAACCATTTAGGAAGCCATGTAGGTGGAGGCATCGATACCTTCCTTGGGGAACTCACTATAGCGTGGTTAGTATATGTTTGGTGGACGAAAAAGGTGTGGCGAACTTACGGAAGAGCAACCTCGAAGCGCTTCTCAATGGCCTTGAGGACCTCCTTGTCCTGGTCAGTGGTAACGAAGGAGATGGCAAGACCCTTGGTACCGAAACGACCAGCACGACCGACACGATGGAGGTAAGAGTCGGCGTCGGCGGGGAGATCGTAGTTGATGGCAAGGTTGATGCGTTCGATATCGATACCACGACCAAAGACGTCAGTGGCGACGCAGATACGCTTGTTGAATTCCTTGAATTCCTTGTAACGACGGATACTATAAGGAGAGTCAGTAGGCGCCCACACAATGATGTCGGGACAGGTGTACATACCGCTCCTCCTGGCTCACACCGGAGTGGACAGCGATCGAGGGGAAGTTGCACTCGCGCAAAAGCTTGTCCAGCTCGGTAGCACGGAGAGTGCTCTTGACGAAGATGATGACCTGGTTGAACTGCAGCTCGTCGAGAAGCTCGTTGAGCTTGCGGTTCTTCTCGCGCTCCTCAAGAGGAATGTAGTATTGCTGAAGACCGTGAAGGGTCAACTTGGTGTCTTCGTCAACGTAGTGCTCGGTAGGGTTCTGCATGAACTTGCGGCAGATAGGCTTGATCTCGTCCGACAGGGTAGCGGAGAACATCATGACCTGCTTCTGCTGGGGAGTGGCGCGGAAAATCTCCTGAACGTCGCGGCGCATGTCTAGCTAAGGGTTAGTGACCATCGGTTGGCTGTTGACTACAACGGGAACTTACCGATCTGGTCGAGCATCTTGTCGCACTCATCGAGAACGAACATGCGGACGCTTCCGAGACGGAGGTGCTTGTCGCGCACCAGGGCGTTGAGACGACCGGGAGTACCGACAATGATGTGGGGATGGGTCTCCTTGTTCTTGAGGACCTCGGCATCCTTCTGGATGGGAGTACCACCGTAGAAGACGCCGGTCTTGATGTCGGGCATGTACTTGCTGAAGCGGTTGTACTCGTTGCGGATCTGGAAAGCGAGCTCCCGAGTGTGGCACATGACGAGGACAGAGCACTCGCCGGCGACGGGCTCGACTTGCTGAAGAGTGGTAAGGACGAAGACAGCCGTCTTACCGAGACCGGACTTGGCTTGGCAGATGATATCACCACCAAGCATGGCCTGGGGGATACATGTCTGCTGAACTGTATTCGAGGACCGGATTAGAATCGAGTTACGCAAGCTTTGAATTGGGCACGAAGAAGGACAGGGTGATATCGAGAGCGAAGGGCCCGTCCATCGTCGCAGCAGCAAAAAGACTTTTTTTCGTTTATCCGTTCCTCCCGTCGTAGGTGCGCGGTGCCGACATCATATTTGTTCCGAGCATGGATCGAGTGAAGAGACGCGTCTCGTGATGGTGTCACGCATTGTAACGGTTCCATGACATCACCAGTCATCAACGACTAGTATAAAGAGGTCGACGACTCTTTCGAGACCGCAGGGGACAAAGTCTCCCTTGACCGGGGATCCCCCATTGAAGGGCCCAAGGGTGCTTAGCCCGAGGGTGAGCCTTTTGGGGTGATCGCTCTCCGCTCGCCATTGTGCCATTTCCACCTCGGCACCGTGATCGTGGTCGCGTGTACCGGGGTGCCAAATTCCAGCAGCGCTCAGAGGCGCGGACAGCCTACGCTCGTTTCCGAGACGCAAAGCGTGAACAAAGTGATGATGTAGGTCGTGGTGGTGGACGCTAACCGCCAAAGCACCACGTTTCCTCCTCAAGGCGTATGACGGCGGCGCGCGTTTCGGTGCTCCTCTTCCGACGTGCCAAGTGCCCATGATGACGCAGTATAGTCTTTTGTATTTGCTTGCGATGATGGACGGAACCCGATGTTTGAGGCAGGAGGTGTAACGATAAGCTGGGGGTAAAATTTGTCAGGACTAACCCTCCGAGGGATGCTCGAAGCCGCAATCGGCAATGGCGCGAAGAAGTTCGGGCTTCAGCAGAAAGTCGCGGAAGCCAGTCGAGTGGATGCCGACATAGGAGCCCTTCTTGGTGTCGACAGTCTGGCCGGCGGGGACAGCCTCGGCCTTCTTGCCGTTGGTGGGAGCGGCGGACTCGTTGTTGAGCTCGTCGTCAGAGTAGTCGATGAGATCTTCCTCGGCGGACATGTTGGCGGTTGTGGTGTTGGTGGTGGAAGTGGTGGGTGAGTGGTTGTGATTAATTAGTGAGAGAGCGTGTCAAGGCTGGAATGTGCGGCTGACGACGACTACGACAAAGGCGACAACAGAAAGCTGGGGAAGAGAAATCCGGTCAAAAGAAAGAAAGTGGGAGATTGCTGGAGTCGAATGAGGTTGCGCAGACCAGTCGAGGCAGAAGGCTACGTGATGCTGCGGAGAAGAAGTGGAGAGGAAAAGAGGCGACGCGCTGATGGAAGTTGGAAGATGTTGAAAAGTCGGAGGGTGCGACGGATCAAAGGTCCCAAAATAAGCAGCAGGTTCAGGTTCCCGTCGCTGCTCCAGTCACGCACACGCACCCGGGGGGCGCTGCACCACCGGCCACCACCAGCCGTGGCCCGCCCGTCGTGACTGTTGGCGTGACCTGGACGAGGCGCAGGCGTGGCCGCCCCGCTTGTTGCAGTCCAAGAGCCCAAGGTTTGAGGAGGACGCCAGCTGGCAATCCGCCTTGTTTCATGAGGCAACTGTGGCTGAGCACCCATGTTGGCATATCATACCAGCTGCCCCTGCTCTGGCGGCTCCCGGTCCATGAGTGACGCACTGACCCTTCCGAACACCTTCAGTCACTCCCTTGCAGCGCCGCCCTCATCCACAGTGAATGCCAACTGCATGCCGGTCTTGGCACCAATTGCAAACGACAAAGAACAACCGGTCTTTCACAAACCGTGAATGGACAAAAGCAACACTCAATAATATCAGCCAAAAAATAATACCCCAACACAAGAACAATAGAAAACGAGACACAAGACTAGCAAAAATGGCCAAAGGCGGCGGTAAAAACAACGGCGGGGTCCAAAACAGGGCAATCTACTCCCGCGTCTCCTTCCTCCAGCAAGCCGCCGTTTTTCTATCCCGGCAGTCTCAGTCACAACACCAGCAACAACAACAATCACTCCCGTCTTCCACATCCTCAGCCTTGGCTCCCCTTGTTCCACTACCAACGCCTCTAGAAGGCATGTCCCGCCGTCTAGCCACCGACCTCCGCTCCGTGTCCCTCAAGACCCGAATCCGTCTCAGTCCCGCCGTCAAGCGGACCATCTGCAAGTACTGCGACTCGCTTCTTATTGACGGGTCAACATGCACAGCCTTCATTGAGAACAGGAGCAAGGGCGGGCGCAAGCCGTGGGCAGATATTTTGGTAAGGAGATGTCATGCGTGCAAGAAGGAGAGGAGGTATCCAATTGAGGCGAAGAGGACGAAGCGGAAGACGGAACGTGGGATATCGGAAGAAGACGCGGCTGGCGGGGATGCTATGGAAGTCGATGGCCCTCCTGTTGCTGGAAAGGGGAAGGGCCAGAAGCAACAGGGCCAGAAGCAGAAGCAGAAACAGCCGCAGGGTCAGACGGAGGTGGAAGTAGGGGAACAGAAAGGGTGAATGAGATCGAGGCTGGACGGCGCTCGACATGAAAAGAGCGTTGGTCTCAAACTAGACTTATGCCCAAATAGCACGACAAGCATCATGCTCGAGTTGGTCGGCCAGGTGCGTTGGAAAAGCGCCGACGAGGCTGCATGTCCCTCTTCATTGAACACGCCAAGGCCAGGAGAAAAGTTGAAGAGCCTAGCCAAGGTGAGGATCTTGTGTATGTCGACTCGGGTCAGTCCCGAGGACATGGCCTGTCGGAGAGAGTCTGGCGAAGCCATACCGATGGTAACCGGTTCCGTAACCTGCCGTGGGGTCTCGCGAGTATCGAGTCGTCTTTTACGGTGAGGTGGATTTTCATGACCCAGGGTCACGACGAGGGAGTGCATCCGCTTCAACATCTCCAGACTGGCTAGTAGCGAAGATCAACTGAGGACGTTTTAACACCTACAAACCTTCCAGCCCGAATTGGAGGAAATCGCAAGAACACGAGTAGAAGCCGTGCTGCCGTGTTAGCTAGACGAACCAAATCAAAACAATATCAGGAAGCCGACCTTTCACACATATCTACAACCTCCAACAACTAATCTTTCATGTACATACATGGCATGGTATAATTCGTTGCTCTGTTTCGCGTGACTCTGTGTCCCGTATCATCGTGATTGCTTTGACCTCCTGTTCCTCCTTGCTCCCGCTTGTTCAAACTGAATGTTTCCATAGTCCACAACCCAACCGCAACCTCATCCCCATTTTCCAACACACCCTCACCTCTGTTGCCCACCCTGCCCACCTTGACCACCTTGACCACCACCCTGCTGCTGCTCAACCACCTGCTGAGCCTGCACACTCTGGACACTTTCTTCTCCTAGGACTTTACTTGCTGCCATGAACCTGTATCGTGTGTATCATCCATCTCCAATCAGTCTCTCAAAACTCTTCGAGCTGGTGCAGTGATTAAGGAAGAGGGAAGGGAAGGCAAAGAGAAGAACACAAACGGGAAAAAGAAGAAAGAAGGAAGGAAAGAAGGAAAGAAAGAAAAGACAACAACTTACAATCCACCATGCCAACTCCCCAGCCCCCTCATGCACTCTGCCTGCACGCTGGTCATGCGCAAGAGGTTCTCGGTGTCGGCGAGGTTATTGGATAGTTGCGTTAATTGAGCGTGGAGTTGGGACTGGTTGGTCAGCTTCTTTCTTGCATTTGTTCTTCTTTTTGTCTCTCTTTTGGGAAAACGGAGTAAGGAAGGTAGCTTGTAGAGTAGAGCCATATGATACACGGTAAGGGCACACACAGGATACAACGACCACGATGAAGAAACGATAAATCTAGGAATCAGAATGCAGTGCCAGTTGCACACCCCAGCATTCCTTCTCCATTTTCAAGCAAAGGTCGAAAAGAGATGAAACGAGACAAAAGAAAGAAAAGAAAAAGAACATACAATCTGCCTAGCCTTAACCGCCGCGCCATTCTGTCCAGAAGAAGTCGACAACGAAGAAGCGCCGGGGGCATGCATGGACTGTCGTCCTCCGCCGTAGCCATTACCACCACCACCACCGTGCCCGGCACCAGCACCAGCTCCGCTACTGATTTGCGTGCCGAAAATGGTGTTGCGGTGGCTAGCCATTGCTTATGTCTCTTTGAGTGGTGAGTGGGTGGGTGTTTGTTCGCTCAATCGCGTAGGTGCGAGTGGATTTCCGTGTGAGGGTTACCGGTTTCCAGTGGTCTGGAGTGGTTAGACGTCTTGTTGGTGCAGTGCTTGCCGAGTGTCTTGTGAGTGTTTGAATTTTGTTTTGTTTTTGTTTGGGCGTTTGTTTCCTCTTGGTGTGGAGGTTTGGGATTATTGTTGTCACCTAAATCGGCACTGAGTTGCTACCTCTAAGCAGCGGAGGTAGGGCGTTAGTGCGTCGCTAAACAGTCGTTGGCCGTCACGAGGGAGGCGTCCATCAGCCGCTGTAGCGCGTCTTCAAGCTATAGTAAATAGGGGATTTGACTGCTACGCCAGACACCCTGTTATGTCAAATGCTGCTGTCCGCTGCGCACGTGCATTAACAATTTGTGTCTCGACCGGCAGTGCAAAACCTCAAAACAACAACACCTATTTCCCATCGTCCTCCAGTCTTCCAGACTAAACAAGATCTGGGCGACAAGTCCCAGATCATCCGCTTCTAATGTTCCGCTTCTACCAAACTCTACATTCTTCACACCCTTGAAATGGGACGATCCAGCCCTGCATTTACGAACTGCAACAGCGCAGGGACCCTCCCGTCATATCGTCTCGAGCCACACTGTGGTGGCATGGATCTCAGACCTCGTATCTTGCAAGCCCTCCGTGCCCCCGGTGCCGTCCCTCCCGAACTCCCGGCCGCCGGGGTCCCAACACCAACTCATGCACACGAGACGAACAAGACGAGATGGAACCCGAGAGTAGGTAGCCAGAGGCTAAGTACCTAACACCCTTCATCATTTTCACATTACCCTGCGTGCCCTACCTACCCCTGCCATCATGGGAATCAGGAAGCCCAGACAAGAGAGTAAGTAAAGCAGCGATGCTCAATTCAACACAACTTCAGGATAGGTAGTAAGGAAGGTGATGTTAAAAACTATCATTACGATACGGTGAATGAGCTAGGTAGCTAGCTAGCTAGCTTCTGCTTTATGCTTTGGGTGGTTCGCCAATATCTACACTTCTCTCCCCCCCACTCAGGCAAAACTATACAAAAAGGAGGCCACTAGAATAAGTTACGTCAATCCGCCTTTATAGGATGAAACACAAAAACCTCAAGTTTTGATGAGAAGAAGGAGAAGCAAAACAAAGGAAAAATAGACAAAAAAAGAAAGACGATCTGTTAAGTCCTGGGCTGCTGTCTCTGACCGTCGTCAATTTTCCTTCATCCTCGTCTGATGAGTTCGATCAGTGAGTGTTTGTTTTCCGCCGTGTCGTCCCTTCCATCCATTTTATCCTGTCATCCCCGCTTCAGGCTTCAACTCCCTCCATCTCGTCCTCAGCGGGTATCATCTACTTTGCGTGTGCTCAAGAGGCTGGCAGCGACGTGCGTCTGTTGACAGTGACTTGCCCTCAGGGTCCAAGTGAAAAACGTGTTGTCGTCGTATAAAACATGCGAGATTTGAGTTGCGCATGGAACGAAAGATGGTGAAACCGTAGGATAGGATACGAAAGGTAGGATAACTGCTTGTTTTATTCGCGTCTCGTCTCGTTTGTTTGTCCAGTTCGATGAAAAGTTTAACAGAAGAAAACCTCGGAGAAAAGAAAGGACAAAAGAAAAAGTTGATAACCGCCGCCTGCCAATCAAGTCCATAATGATCCTTCACGCGTCCCTTTCTTTCATCGCACACGATACACGCCTTTTCTTCTAACCAAATAGTGTTTCGTGTCCCCCACCCATACGTATCATTAAGTAAACTGAATCAATGCTTTTCTTCGCCTCCTCTTCTTCCTTCTTCCTCCGTCTTTGGCTGCTGCGCTGAAAAAGAGGATATCGATAAGCGGGACTAAATTATGTTGCCTGATGAGAAGGGATAAAGATTCGGGAGACAAAAGGGTAGTAGCCAGTTCGTTTATAAATGGCAAATGCTTCTTGCACCACCGGTACTTCTTGCGCAACAAACTCCTCATCAAATCCAAACCCCGTTCCGTATGTGCTTAACGCACTCCAATGGGCGGACGAGGACCAAGGCTACTCTGGCTGCTGTGCGCCGAAGGTTCCGATGACTCGAGCTGATGTGTAGAATCACCACTCGCCGCGCTGGCGCTTGCACTACCAGTCAGACTTCGAACATTTTTGGACATCATGGTCTCTGGTGGGTGGAGGGCGCTCACCCCGACATGCTGTTCCACATGCTGCGGCACGACCGCGTTTCCGTGTCCTGGGGGATAACGGGGCATGGGTTGCCGCATTCCATCCGGAGGCGACGGGCGCCCGCCGCCGTTCATGTATGGCGCGCTGTACCCGTTTGGTGGAGAAGGGCGACCGCTACCGCCCCTCATGGACGGGCTGTATGGGTTCCCTGGTGATTGGCTGGCGCGTCTCGGCATGCCTCCGAGTGGCGGAGGGCCCTGAGTGTACTGCAGCTCATCCAAACGGGCGGCCGTCAAAGAGTTTGTCCTCGATTCCGCATGTATCGCTCTCCGGTCCACTTCGCCATACCGATTTGAGGTGAAGCTCATCAACGGATCGTCCAAAATGTCGTCGTGCAACCCCGGAATTTCGGCGACGATATGGCTCGATCGGTTCCGCCCAAACTTCGGCATGAACCTACTACTCCTGGAAACAGGCGCACCAGACTCGGGGTTCTTGCGCAATTGGTGCACGTCGCTAGGCGCTTTCCGGGTTTTCTTGGAAGTGACGCTCATCATGTCAAAGTTGTCGGGATCGATCAATGGCACGGGAGGCGCAGAAGCCGGGTCATAGTAATCGTCGTCATCATCGTCATCGTCAAAACCGCCGTTAAACCTCGGTGGTGGAGGGCCCCTTCTGGATCCCGGCGGGGGACCACCACCAGCAGCAGCACGTCTGAGCCTCAATTCCTGCTCTCTCAAGGCGAGCTCCCGCTGCCGCAGCTGCAACTCCCTTTCCCGCAAAGCCAAATCGTGCGGCGAATAACCACCCTCGCCAGCTTCTGGAATGTCGTCGTATAGCACCAGATGGCTAAACTCTTCCAAGTCAGCTCCTTCCATCGACCCCCTCCTCGACGGCTGCCGGCTCCCACCGGTTGGTGGTCTAGGGTATCCGTTAGGTGGCGGTCCACCGCCGTTCATAGTAGGCCTGCGCATGCCGGATGGTAAAGGCCCCAACTGCGAAGAGCCCCTAGGGCGCATCCGTGGCAGCCCGTTCCCGTTGGCCATGCCGTTGGCTACTGCACGTGGAGTGCCTGGCGGCCCCCGGGGCAGAGGGCTAGCAGAAGGCGACGCTGGCTGTACAGGGGGAGCCAGAGCATCCGCCTTGGGTTTGTTGCGGTTGGCGATATTGGTGTTGTGAAGAAGGGCGTAAAGCGTCTCGATTCGCGGAACTGATACCCCGACTTCTTGGGCTAACCTGATAGGCGAGCCGAGATATGTTTCAACCTCCATCGGGCGTCTTGCAACGTAATCCTGCCACATCATGTTCTCCGCCGTCGTCCTCCCGAATTCATCAATGGTGTTTTTCTTGAAACCGGGCGGAAACTTGCAACCATGTGCTTCGGCCACGGCTAATAGCTCGTCAATGACATCTGATATCAGCTTGGCCACGCCCACTTTGTCAAGGAGCTGGCCATAGTTGGGGGTTTCGAAGAGCACTGTGAGAGGATGGAAAGCAATTGGGCTACGATTCGGTTAGCATCTCGATCTTGGCCTGATTGACCCAACGGTAAACAACATACCCAATAACTCTTTCAAACTGCTGTTGCCGAATGTTACTCGAGACTTTGCAGTCGACCTGACCAGTGCTGAGGGTCATAGCCAGTGCCTGCGCCATGTCTTCCTGTATCGAGGCCGGAATGTTGGAACCTTTGTTTGCGGCGCCAACCCAGACTTCTGTTGAGCTCTTGTGCTCGAATTCGCTTCCTCCAAGCTGAGTAAGCTCGGCGCCGCAGACCAGCGAAAGAACTACATTAGTGGGGAATCGTTCTTCGATGGCTGACTCGAGGCCGAGCGAGTGTGTGGTATTAACAAGGATGCATGTGTGCTGCGGAGTGACGACGGAATCGATCACCGAGGCCAAGTCGTAAACATCGGGAAGGGCCTTGATACAGAGAATAACATAGTCGAATGCGCCGCCCTCTCTGCGAGTGGCAGCCTCTTCAGGTGTCCGGACCACTGCGTCATAGCATTATATTTCAGCACAATGGTTCAACGGTCGAGCGCACCACGCAAGGGCAACATCCTGGAGAACACGAGAGCATGATGGGAAAGACTTACCATGACGAGGCTTGAAGCGCTCATTGCCAAAGACCGGAGACCTAGACCCAGCAACAACTTGTCAGCATTGACATCCGGATGCGTGGGGATAAGGTTGTTGGCGACTTTGTTGCGCCCGGGAAACGAGGAATCGAATTGGGAATTGTCAACGTACTTGAAAGAAATTCCGTATTGCGCAACGTGCTCGAAGCCAGTCTTCCATACTAGAGTGACGTCGCAGGCGTTTGTTGCTTGGAGTCGCCATGACAAGAAGGCAGAAACCGAATTTCCGCCCACTGTAACAACCTTCATCAGCTCATTACTCTCAGACATGTCTGGTTTGCGCGTGTTCGAGAACCGCAAGCGCAGCAGCTGTCATCCAAAAGAAAATAATCAAGCAGGAAAAAAAAACGAGTGTGGTGGTGACGGCAGGGTCAGTCAAGCAAAAGTTGTTTCTGATCTCGAAAGTGGGAAAAAGTAAGTTGGACAAGTGGGAAGGCCGTCAAAGAGATAATAGCGTGTGTGTGGTATGGTTATGGGTAGGATAGCGTAGCCCACTTTCTTTCTGGTCAAGACTGGCTGGTCCCGGAAAGCTGGTGAAGCACTAGTGAGAGAAAAAGGTAGCGGGTACAAGGGATAGCATGGATACGAGAGCGGAGAACGTGGGAACTGGTACATGGGTGAAGAGACAGGGAACACTCGTTGCTGACTGTCGAAGTCAAGGCAGAGGGCCGGCGCCGAAACGACTCGACTCCATCTATTTTTTTTTCGATGACCTGTACAGACCCAGTACCCGTATCGTAGTGGTATCCATCAAACAGTGCTGAATATGAACTGGCGACTTACCTGACAGGATCTTAAGTCGGGGCGTCATGGGTGCCATTGCGGAGTCCCGAACCAGGATGATGGGCTGTTCAGGTTTCGAAGCTGCAACAGCGGCAGCCTTCTTTGGTGCGAATCGCTCAACCGAAAAGAGGAAGGACTGGCAGAATTAACACCAACCTGAAAATCTGTCTAACCAAAGCGAGGCCTGTTCCACGAGCGAGCGCAACCAAGACCAAGTCCCCTGTGGCTTGAATTATCTCAGTTGGTTGACGTGGGCCGGTGTGCGTATTGAATGGATGATGCTGTCTCCTTTTCTTGTTCTTTTTTTCTTTTCTTTTTTCTCTTATTCTTTTCCTCTTTTCGTAACTCTAATCTCGAATCGAGTGTGGCTGTTACTCCGATATCTTGTTTCTGTCTCTTCTTTTCTCCGATGTCTCTTGTTCGCTTGAAGATGTTATCGCTTCTCCCGGGGTTAGGCGGTCTCGTTGTTGTCTTGGAAGCGGCGAGATCTATACACTCGAGCACAGCTCGCTTCGCTTTCTTTCGCTTCTTCTTTGTCTTATTGTTTGTCTTATTGTTGTCGCTGTTGTTGTGGTTATGGTTATGCGGGGATACTGTATGGACTCCTCTTCAACACGCCTCGAACGAGCGAGCGAGCCAGACAGCGTCACTCAACTTGACAGGGACAGTCGTGACAACGCAACGGCGGCAGCAGCAGTCAGCGACAGCAGGGGCAGCAACAATGATAGTGACAGCATACAGCAGCAATGCAGTGACCAACAGCAAATGTCGGAGCAACGATAAGAAATAGTCGCGGTTGTAGCTGGAAATAGGCGATCCTGGGTGCTGGGCAGCGCTAATCAAGGCCTTCTTCTAACGGCTCCCAGTAGCGTCGGCCGGGTACATAGACTAAAACGAGCGTGACGCCTTGGCAATGATGAAATGTGTTTTTGAAGAGCGAGAACGAGGCGACAGAAGATATTCCAGACTTCCGATCTGAGGACCCTTGAGATTTGATCGGAAGGGTTCGGTCGAGAAGAGGGAGCTGAGGCTGAAATTCGAAACGGAACACGGCGAATGTGGTTGCTCACTGCTGTGACAAGACAGATCGGGGTCAATGGTACTGGGCCACAGCCACGATATTGAAGAGGGTACCTTAATCTGGATAAGGCGCGACGACCGACGGTTTCGACTTGTGCCTTGTTCGACCTTGTATACCGCGTGGAGCGAGCGTGTGTAGTGTGTGTGCCTAGTTTCGTGGCGGGCAGGTAAATGGGAGAGCAATGTAATGTAGGGTGTAGCAAGTCTTTGTCTAGTAGCCGTTCGTAACTTGTGGTCGCCGGATGGATCTTGGTCCAAATGGTGGTGACGAGCCGCTCGGAGCGTGGTGTGGTGTGCGTTTGCATGTGCCGCAGAGAAGGTAAACATGTAGTGCGAAGCGGAATGCACTAACAGCCGAACAGCAGCATCTGTAGCCAGTGGAGGCGATGAGATGTGACGATGGCGCCCGGGAGTGGTGAAGCTAGTAGTGCTAACGAGCGGACTGCGGACGGAATGGTTGAGCAATGCTGGTCGTGGTCCGTTGTCGTGTGGTGGATGCTCGCTCGTGGGTGGATGGCTGGTGGATGGGCGATCGGTGTTGCACCTTGCCTTGGCGGTTGGTCTGAAGGGAATCGGGCTTGGTGTCGCTCCGGCGTGTTAGGCCGTCCCTTTGGCAGGCTGGTTCCGTGGGTCGCTTGGGGTCCTGACAGGAATTGCGAGGCCAGCACCTGGCGGCTGGGGAGGTCCCGTCCTGGGCTGCGGCGTTGGGGCAAGGGCCAACCAGGGTGTTGTGAAGGGAAGGCGCTGGGCTTTCGGGGCTTCAAGCGACTGGTGGTGGCATAGACGAAGGAAGGTAGAAGGAAGAGAAAAGTTGGAGACAGCAATGCGATGACAACAATACATGAAGCAAGCAGAACACAAGCCATATTACTTACCGAATGAATGTTTGTCCAAAAAAGAGAATTCCAGGTCTTTCCTTTCTCTATGTACACCTCTTTGCGGTCGGCTGCCGGAAACGACTGGGATCTGAATGGCGTTGTTTTCTCTTCCCGTTTGCTTGGGTTGCGGTTTTGGAGGCAGGGAGGCTCTCAGTGGCATGGAAGGCAGAAACATCGGAAACCCCAGAGCATGTCGGATAAGTCCCTTCATCCAGATGTCTTCTCGCTGCACGTCAAGCAAGAGTCTACCTTGAAGTACCTTACCTGATGCCCGTCTGAAGTGTCCAGCCGAACCTCCAACTGTCAACTGATGCTGGTCGGTTCTATCGGTGAAAGAACCCGCTGCCGAGGGGACGTTTGTTTTGGCTCTGATATTGGGGACATGCGATGCCATAAACTACGGGGATATCGTGCAGAGCATGGCATTTGAAGGCACCTTTCACACTTCGTTTCCCCTTGGAACCAACATGACAGAGGACGAGGTCACTCTTTTCTATCTTCATGGTTTTACTTTTGAGCCTCATAATGAGGTAGCGATGGCGATTGAGCGATATGCGCTTCCCACCGCTGAATTGTGCCCAACTAGTACAAATCATTGAAGTTGAAGACTTGGCAGGAAGTCGATAACAAACATACAGGTGCGAACGGGCGGTGGGCAGGCTGGTTCGTGTTAAGAGGTTGCTTTTTGCTTCTTGCTTCTTGCTTCCACGCTTAGGTGGCTCGAGGCGTCCTGTCTCCTTCTTCCCCGGCAAATTGGCAAAAAAAAAGAAGAACAAGACCCTCCTTCTGTGTGCAAGCCCCGGCTCTACCAACTCGTAGTAGAGTACCTGATATTGTTGTCTGCTCCTCGGGTCTACATAGTAGAGGTGTAATTATTACCGTAAACAATTATACCTCTAACAGAGCCTCGATCGGGATCCAAAGCGAAGGGAGAAAGGCATTACCCTGTCCGATTAAGTCCAGGCCGTTACAGTACACTCTGGGGCTGCTTAGAAATGCCCTAAAGAGCTGAACATGCCTTTGGTAGGCAGGCCAGCCAGGTACATGACAAGATGGCATAGCATAAAACGTGGCAGAGGGAAGCCTCGTTTAATGAAAAGGTGGGGGAAATGAGGGCGTCAAGGACACTTGGGCGTTTCCTTGTTGATGGAAGTGCTTCTTGTGAAATTTTTGTTCCCTTGCCCTGCGTTGACGCTTTCAGCAGATGTAATGTTGCTGGCAGCTGCGAAACTCGGCGTGTGCTGGACGCCGCTGTGATGAAACCTCCGTCAAGGCAGGGTCGGCAAGGCAGGGCGGACACAGTGCGCATCGGGAAGGGCGCCAAGTGCCAGCCCTGAAGGATACGTGTATGGTAAGGTAAAGATGAGGTGGGTCGTTACCGGTGCATGAGCTTCGGGAAAGCGGTAAGCTCCGTGCACTAACTTGAACCGTACATGCAACTTTTTCAGCTGTGAACGTCCTGCACGGCGGGGAGAGGATGCTTAACGAAGTGAACCAAGTGTTGCATCGCACACGAGCTGCACATATTCGCACTATAACGATCAAAATTATTCCTCCTTCGATTCCTGATATCCATTTTATGCCTCCTACCTACCTATGTGCTTCTGCTTCGAAGGAACATGGCAAACCCTTAAAGCCGAGGTAAGTTAAAAATGGAAAACGGCCTTTTGGAGAACGCCGTGGCCACCCGGTCCACTCTGCTTGTGTTTGGTGACTTAGACAGTTGGGAAATGATCCACCTTTGTTGCGTGTTTCTGTCGCCGGTTCCACTGAGCACCACTTGGTTAAGGTAACACAGCCCCGATCTCTGAAAACCAAATCCCGTATTTGAGAATCTGTAATTTATGGTTCGGACTTGATAAGACACGAAGACTCAAAAGTGAAGACTACCAAGATGAAAAACCGGAACCGGCACTCAAGTACAGAATAGGCTTGTTGTCTTGAATGTCAACTCCCGTGGCTAGATTAATTCGCGATGTTACAAGTAGAAACTTGGCTTGGTTCTGTACATAACGTGGCGTCGTTGAAGTAGGTAGAGGTAATCATTCACGTTGACTTCCCGGAGTGTTACAAAGTCTCGAACCAGCGGCAACGGTTCCAAAAGGCTTTGATACAGTGTACATAGGTAGTGAACTCTGGTCATGATCCGTGCTATGGTGCCAAGCACTTCCAAGAATTGTCTTTCCCCATCTTGTCCCGAGGGAAAGGGAACTGAGTGAGAAAAGGGATGGGCGGATCACCAAGGAACTCCTGACGCGTCTCGGCCTAGGCCCGTGATATGCTGGGCGTGTATGAAGGGCTTTGCTTTTTCTTTACAGGCTCCCTATCCTTACATAGTACGTGATGTAAGTAAGGCTCTCGCTCGCCAGCTCGCCCTGCCTGTCTAATATTGGATGACGCGGAGAATGGGGAGCTCCAGGGACGTGTGTTGCAGGCAGGTTGAAAAAGGCCATGAGGCTGCGGGGAACGAGTGTCCATCCCAAACCCCCCCGTCAGCTCTGACGTTAGCGTTAATCTTGATAGACAGCGATTTTCCGTCGAGCAACATCTCCTCTTGAGGCTGTGATGGTTGAACAAATTCGACAGACACTCAAAGATGACGACAGTACTGATATACCTAGTACATAGCAGAGCTACATACAATAAGTGATTGCAATAGGAGTTGCAAATCAGGGAACGCGCGTGGTAGGGTTTTCACCGCTCGGTAATACGGCATCAGAGGACGACGGTCAACAAAGTGCTGTGGTGTAACAAAACAATAGACCCTATCCGGGGTCCATTCCCTAGGTAGCTAAGGGCTCTGGAACCCCCGAGACTCTCTTTGCTTCTGGACGATGGAATTCAGACATGTGTAGCAGAAGACGTTTGCGGCCAAGAAGAACAATCTAGGCAATGCCTAGGTACAGGCTGTCTTCCTGGAACCTTGGATCTGGTGAGATTTCGATATTCACCTATGTTGTGCTTCACACGTTCTTCTTTTTTTCGGTAATCATAGGTCTTCCAGTACGAGACGGTATCAGACACGATGGGCTCTTCGGCCCTGCCGGTGCAACACCAGCGCATCACCACCCACGCGTACGCGGAAAGCATCGTACAGTTTACGAGGCCTGATGCTGTGGGTCAAATTATACATACACAGTGTAGCCCCACGCCGAGGCTCCGGGAAAACGCTACGGTGGGCATCAAAAGCAGGGGCCTTGTTGACTGACGGTATAAGACATCATCGCTGATTTAGCGTTGCACTACTCCCAAATCGGTATCGCATCCAATCTTCCACAGCAGGTTCCATGATGCGAAGAGCGGACGCGTCTCGGGTGTTGGTGATGGTGTACGGTAGGTAGAGATAAGGTCAGAAGCAAGCCCGGAGCGGCCGACCGACAGGAGCCGTCAAGTGTGTGTCGTCGATGGCGCCGTCCATTGGCGAACGAGATCTTGACACGACGGTAGCAGGCTGCGCGAGTTATGGAAAAGTTGATTGCGGATTACGTGGGGTACAGCTCCAGCAGTGTGGTGCAGTCTCAAGTCTGAAGGTTGTTTAAAGTTGCCGAACGGGTGTAAGAGGAGTCCGAAGACTGCGATAACCAGAGCTGCTGAGTGGCTGGTGCGGATCGACCGGTCTGCGGATGGCCAGACCTCACGATGAAGAGGAGCAGTCCAAGACTTGGCAGAGTCCTGATCGAGAATCCGGCGAAAAGGCTATCTTGATGATGGTGGATTTGCCGACGACTCGTTGTCCTTCTCCGCCACGGACTAGTGAAGTTCGGGATGTGTGGTTGCGGCAGCAAGAAGGGACGGGCCAAAACTTGGAACAGGAAATGAGATACTTCCACGGATTGGGATTATTGTTGTAGTATAGACTTTCGCTGGACGGGCAACCTGAATGCCTACCACTCTGCCTTATCGCCTACGGTGCGACCGGCCAAGGTATCATTCGATTCGCGATCGTGCCTTTCCCGGCGTCCTCGTACTTTTACATAGTAGTAGAACAGATTACTCACCTGTGCGAACTCCATCTCTTTTGCCGCTGCAGTTCCCCGCTCCTTGTTTTGATGTTCCTGCACATGTCGATACCTCCTTCATAATTAAAAGTTACACTGGAATATTTCGGATTTGTTACCGAATTGGAACCTGGAGGACTTTGCTATGTAGTTTGCTGGAACGTTGATGCTTGAAGGCAGAGAAGGGAAACTGGGTCCTTCTTAGTCCCAGGTACCTTGCTGCTTTGCCGAAAGTGAGGATGGTGATGGATCCCATCAAGGTATCCACACGATCTGGAAGCATTTTTTTTTTCTTTCTCTGCTGACAATTGATGTTCCAGATGACCGGCTCAGGCTGTGCTGTGCATCTTCAATGCAAGCGTCTTTCATGACAATCGTTACGACTGGCTCTCCATGGAAATATCAGGGTTGATCACCGCCGTAGAAACAAGACTCCGAGTGTTTGATAGGCATTTCTCGCAGAGCGCATTGTACACTAGATATGGATACAGCGGTCTGATGTGCAGGTGGTCGTTGTTGTGCATCAATCTCCATGATCAATCTGATGAACGAGTTTTTTCCTGTCAATTATCGGAAGCGACGGGAACTTGGGAAAAAAAAAAAAAAAAAAAAGGTTTTCCCTCGTTGTTGCTGGAGAGAGAGACGGCACTTACGAGAACCTTCCTGGTACACTACTACACTGCTAGGCAGCCGATGCCCGCTCTCGACATGTTACTTTGTTCTATTTCGATCTCGTTCAAAGCCCCAACCACCCCCGTCACCGTCACCACAGCGTGTGTTTGCTAGGTACCTAGTCACCGCGCTTCTCTTCTTCCGCTCGCCGGCGGAAGTGGCTTGGCGGCATTCAAGGTGCCATGCAGTTGCTCGTCGATCGTGTCCAGTTCTCTTCTCGTCTCTTCACCGGCGCTGATAGGTATGACGCAGTGTGTGGGCCGCCCGTCTTTTTGCGCTATTCCCGTATTCAAGCCTAGGCTCAGGCTGAGGAGCGGCTAGCCAATGGAGATGGCCCTAGCTGCCTTGGCATTGGCAAGACGCGGCTCCACGCTGTTCCTGAGAGCCCCGCTTAATTTGCAGTTCCCTTGGTTGGTTCCTGCGCTTCTGCCTGTTCGCTGTTACCGCAAAGTGTTGAGGGCCACATGCAACCACTAAACAACTTGGTCGAGATCGAGATCGCGTCCTCGATTGGCATTCGAGCCACACACCTCAGAGCTCTTATCAGCCCGCTCTCTCTTCACCGATTCTTCCTGTCAGATAAACACTCCCGGGCGCCGAGATCCTCGTTCCACCTGCGTTGCGAGACGACCGCTGGTCGCGCGGTGCCGACGATGACAACGGCGACGATGACCTCGACACCGTCCATCGCTTCACAAGCCCGTCACCACAGTGAGCACGGTTCGAGCCCAGAATCTACACTGCACTAAAAACGATAGACCCCTCCATCCTTGCTCGGCAACCAGGCGAGGCAGATCCACGTTCCGACGTTTCGATGTTCGCCAAAAAGATCGTCAAGCGGCATCATAATCCATCGCAACGAACTCGAGCGGTCCGCTCTACGCGCTTCTGGACCCATGTTTCACATCCGGCCCGTCGGCGGCGGAACCTCAACGATGCAGAATATCCTACAATGAAGCTTTTGAGGGTCCCGGCGCCGTACCAGACAAGGTGTGTTACGGTACTCAAAAACTTTGTGTAAACAACAAGTAAACATCATCACCATCGCCATGTCGCCTCAGCCGCTCGTAGCACCTTCACGCGGGAACCCCCCCGGCGCCATGCCATGCTGTACACTTCAAGGGCGGACTTGGACCGTTCAAACGGCCAGTTTGAGTAAACATCAAGCAGGGCGCCTGGGGAAGTTGACAAGGACAGCAATTCTCGCCGTAATACGCTTTCCGATTGGCTCATGATCGAAGTGTCGGAGATGAAGGTGTTCATATTAGCAGCAGTCATCAAGTCCTGTCAGCATTGGACGGACAAGCGCAACGGACCCTCCTGTCCGAATGTTCTGAACCCGCAACATGCTGTCATTGGCTTGGCTGTTAATGACCTGGCCAAGTTTGTGAGCTTGACACTGATATATTAAATGTCCGTTACGCGGTAAGAGATGAAGACTCGACGACGGCTCTGCTTCTTATTGGTGCCAAGCAAGCAAGATCCAGTTCCTGAGTTGCAACAAGACGGACGGCGGGATCTCAATATATCAACAGTTACGCGTATCATTATTGTAGATGACTACAAAACCTCCATCAGGGCTAACATTGGGAGCGGCAAGGCATCGAACAAGTCAGTACCAACAATTACAACAGCAGGATGACATGAACAGGTTACAATATTGCCGCGAACACAGCACCATAAGCACCAACCGTGAAATGAGGTTTGCTCCTTCAATTATTTCCATACCAAGGTTCTTGTCTTCGTCAGCCGGGGAATGCTCTCTCCTACCCATAATTACGCCATCTGCAGCCTATCGATAGTGCGTCCTCGTCACAGTTGTTTTCTCTGCCGGACCAGGGCGGCGTAAAGACTCCGGCCAGTCGTGCCTACCCCTGAGAGGTGCCTTGTTCCAAGCACCGTTGCTTCTCTTGACTTTCCCTGTTCTCGCCAAGAATCACAGTTGAAGGAAACCACGACCGGACACGTAGCGGCGGAATCTCAGGGTAGGTCTCTCCCATCGCACCGAGTAGACACCATTGGATATGTGAATGGGGTTGATGTAGACCCTCAGGAAGGGTTCACGCATGTCTCACAATATCATCCGGACAGTCACCAACCCTGAGCGAAGTGTTACTTGTGCTCAGTCTCTCAGGTCCCGAACTTGGGAATTGGGATCTGGGAAACTGGGCCCGGACCCAGACAGACCCTCGTTTTCGGGTCCACGTTCTTTTCTCAATGGCTTCTCGGCAAAACTGCACAATGCCCAGAAGAACGTGATGATGATCTTCGTCGACAGTTGTTAAATCGGTACGGAATCACGGAAAATCGGTTTATGCAGAAGCCCAAAAGTCCATGAATGTACCCATCCACACTGACCACGTCCAGCTGTCTCTCTCTTGGCGCCAAGTCCCAAGTTACTTTTGTCTTTGACGGCCGGGATGCTTCCATCACAGCTTCACATCGAAAAAAAAAAAAAAAAAAAAAAAAAAAAAAAAAAAAAGTGATCGCGTTCCTGTTCGACGGCACCCAGGGCACTCCCTGGTTTGTGAACCACAAAGTCGGAGCAAATTCAGGAACAACACAACCAACAGGAAACACAACGTCCCGAATGGTACCTACATACACTCGCTAATCCCGGTGTCCTAAACTGCCTGTCCCTGTCTTTCCTCAACTTCTAGGCAGTTCCTAGAAAGAAACATCCCCAAGAGACTCTAGGCAATGTCTCGTAAGTCCTATAGGCCAAAGATCTCATCGGGTTTGTCATGGACGAGCTACTACTCAAATAGTTCGTTTCTTCTTCTTTTCACAAGCTCTTTCATCTGCCAACTTTCTCGGCAGTTGTCTGCAAGTATTTAGCTAGTCAACTAGCATTGAACTTCAGCAAACTAGGATTATACCTGTAGGGTAAAAAGAACGAAAGAGAATCAATTGCTTGGTTTCAGATGCGCCTTTTCTTTTCCCATCTGTCCGGACATTCAACGAAGAATGTTGTTGTTCTCCATTGATCTCTGCAGGTATCATATCGTATCGTACACTGGCAGTGTAGTATCATGTACACTATCTTGCCCAGCTGCAAGTTCTCAGGGGCAAACTCCACGTTTTTTATGGGGGGAGGGGGGGGGGGGGGGTACGTTTCCTGGAATAGAATACTTGCGCTTTTGCGCTGCTTCTCATAGAAACGGATCATGGACCAATTGGGGAATGTGATTGGCATTGATGGTGCATTGAGTTGCAACTACGTAATTTTGAAGATCTGGGCAGCAGTTCTCACGGTTCTCACTCAGCTGCTTGTAAAAGGCGAATAATGTCAATATCGCACCCCAAAAATAAAAGAAGGAAGAGAGGATTCACGATCGGATTGTCGTCAATTGTGGTTGCTGATGTGACTGATGTGATGCCCCCCCCCCCCCCCCCCCCCCCCCCAGCCCCGCTTTTGGATGTGCGGTTGAAGATGTCATGCCCGCCATGCTACTATGGAAGCCCAGGATCCAGACGGGGAAGATTCTTGGCCGGCTTATCAATGGTTGATCCCTTTGAAACATGTTTCTAGTGTATATAGATTGTTGATCTTTTGAGATTGTCAGTTTCTTCTTGTACGCAGTAGATGTATCATGGATTTCTGATTGTGGGATTGTCTCGTCCATCATGAATTGATATCTGGGATCACCATGTTTAAGGCTCGATTGTAAACTATCTCGGTTCCGCGGGTGCCACTGCTGTGCTGTCTTATACTGTGATGCTTTAACAGGGTCGTAGAGCTTGTTTTGAATCTAGACGGCAGCGTAAGGCAATATCATCTGTATTTGTTTTCGAACATGGTAAGATAGGTTGAAGGCAATGTATGGGACACGAGTTGTTACTGAAGGGCATATACAAATGTTTGATGTTCGAAGACGGAAAAGCTAGAAGGCAGGGACGACTTCATTGGTGAGACACGGAATCGAAGATGGTTTCACGTTCAACTACCCACTATCTAGAGCCGGATCCCACCATACAAGCAGCTACTCTGGCATTCACATCTTCATCTTCGTCACGCATCTAACTTTAAGTTCCTATAACTCCGACAGATGCAGGCATTCCCAGGCATACCGTCATCAAATCCAGCCCAGTCCAGTCCAATAGTCGACAGTTAATATTCATCTATCTCTACCCATTCTTTCCCGTCAACTGCATCTCCCAGTTGTACAGCAGCACGTTTCTCGTTCGTGATACCCCGGATTTCGACCGACCCTTACGCCACCGGACGGGAAGGTGCTTTTGAAACTGGCATGACTTGCAATGAGCTCGTGCCCCTTGTCAGCATCTGATACGATGTGGCTTGCATGAAAGGGGATGGAGAGGTATGACAAGGAAGTGGCTTGAGTCGGTTTGAAGTTGTGTTGGCGAAGCTGGAACAGAAACTGAAGAGCGAGGACATTGCCGGTTGAGTATGCGAAGGGGGCTGAAGCAATCTTCATCTTGGGTATGATTTGGGATGTAGACTCGTTGTGGTGATCGTGGTTTTGGTAGTTACAACTTGGCAAGACCTTGACGCATGATCGTTGTCATGCTCTGATGTTTGGATGCCAGGTGTATTGAGGTATCGAAAAAGAAAAGAAAAGAAAGGAGAAAGGAAAAGGTTTACCTTCAACTGGTTCGAACGCACCACCTTTCCAGAGGGGAGGAAAAAAAGATCAAAAAACAACAACCGCTCGTTCAGAGCAATGGTGAACCGTTTGGTTTCTTCTGTCGACTGGAGCGTTCCCAGATACCATATAGGTAGACCGGCTACTAGGCAGTGAAGACCCCTCTACGTGTCTTAGCACACACCGTTCCCAATCCGGACAGATAATAGATTTTGAGTTTTGAGACTCAAACGGTAGACCACTGTGCCATCTGACCAAGCGGTTGTTGTTGGAAGGATGGACCAACCAGGTCCCTTGTATGGTCATTAGGGGGTGGGTTGATATCGGATGAAGGAATGATGTAGCAAGCGCCGGCAGGTATGGAAGGTACGGTCCGGCAGCTGGCAACCGGAACCGGAATCGGGACTCGGAGCTCGAGCAGATCAGTTGAGGAGGTAGTGATGAGTTATGCGCCATGGCGTACATAAATGACTGTGATGGTTCTTGACGGTGTTACTGTGGCACTTCTAGAGATTAAAGTACGGCATTAGGCAAAAGACGGTGTCAGTTCATGTTTTTCCGCAGATGTAAGTTTCCTCAGATTCGAAGCAATCCAGAGACAGAGGCCAGCTATATTCCAGGTAACAGACAGAACGGCAAAACCGTGGTGGACCCGAATCTCTCTGCTGTTCCAACGTCGAGAAATCGTTTGGAGGAAAATTGTTAGCGAGGAGATTACCAGACAGCATTGATTTTATGGGTGCTCGATCGCCTCAAGCCAAAATAGCGTCCTCTTTTTGTTTTCGCAATTTTTGAGCACATCTCCAGCACGTATTCTGCCTGAGTTGACAGTGTTGAGGCATCCGTATCTCCCATACTGCTTTCGCCTCCACGCCGTTGAAGCGGGTGAGGGGGTTAACGGTGGTGGTGGACAAATGTTGATACCGATTCCCTCGAATTCACGTCCCCTGGTCCCTTTCGTAGAGATAGCGTTGGGCTCTTCAAATCCCCCGTCTTCTCGCAAAAGCTTTCGGCAAGGGCGATTGAAGCGATCTGTGGAACTTCTCTTTCCTCCTCGTCGCTATCCCCGCAGCGTTTCCCTCCAGTCCACTGCAACTGCTGCCCCCAATGCCCCGGCTTTGAAGTCTCGGGGTGCCGTGCTCCTACTTTCTCCATTCAGTGGCTGGTTCCCCTGAGAGAGCTCACTAGAACGCCTGTTCTTTCTGTTGTCTCTCCTCGCCCGCTGGTAGAAAATGACCATCACAACCGCCCTTGCTGCGGGCCTCCCCCTTAACTGCGTCCACCCACAGCCGCTCGCTCTCCGGCGGACCTCCAAAGTGCTGCCAAAGCCACAAGACAGCATTGCTCCCAGATGTTGTCCCAACCCTCAACAAAACAGTCCCGAAACCACCGACAACTCCGATCACGCTGGGACCTCGGCCGTAACACTCAAGACACTTGTCCTTTCTGTGCAGTTCTTTCAGATTTGGCCGCAGTACTCTCTCAAGAGTTGCGTGCTGTAAGGTAAAGGACTGCTCACAGTGAGGCGAGCCGCATCTGCAATAAACCTGCGCTACCACTGTTGAACTCGAAAGGGCGTAGATGACGACGTGGCACGAGTTGGTGATGTTGTTTTTCTTATCGCCAGACGAGAAACTTCTGGAATACCGGAATGCTGTTGATGCTCGAGAATGCGTTCTCACTCGCATTGCGTTGGGGTGTGGGCTGGGGAAGGGGCTAGAGGTGTGTGCATACTGGCAGACTTCTCGGAGGTGTTGAGAATCGAGGCTTCGTCATCCGCGTCGGATTGTCGGAAGAACACGTTGTTGGTGATGAAGTACTCTTTTCTCCCTGCTCAATGCAGGCCACAGCTCACATGTACGTCTGTGACTCCTCGTGACATGGACCGCTTGCGTTTTCCTAACACGCTGGTCACCACAGCGGCTTGGAGGACACTCTGGCCAGATCTCAAAGTCAAATGCTTCCATGACCATGATTTCCAATCTCTTTTGCATACGCCGTGTCGTTATCAACTTCTGCAAAATCAGGGCGATCTTTGCTCTGTGCTCGTTATCGTAAGCCTAAGAATATTTTTCGAAGTGGACACGTCGGCGAGCAAAGACAGAGATGGATGAAGGAAGACATTTGGACGTGAGTAAAGAGACATTTGACATAGTAGCAAAAGTTCTAGGAGTCGTTCTCAAGATGTTATTGGAGTTGGTCAGTGTGACGTCCAGAGGAAATATTGAAAGGAGAAAAGGTGTGGTGTAAAGCACTAGAAGTCGATGAGACATTAAAAGCTTAAGAATCCCAGACCTCCCGTCTCTTACGTTTTCTAACACGTGCTAATTTGAATGCCCACAGATGCCGGGCATTGTAAGCGGATTTTCCCTGTGCAGTCCGCCGAAGTGGGAGCCTGATGGCAAATTCGGCCCAGATTACAGCAGCAAGTGTCGCCCACCAGACGGTGAATGAAGTCGAGTCTATATCCTAAATAGGAAGTGGTGATTTGTACACGGCAAGCATGCAGAATGTGCGTTCTACACTCGACAGGGTGTTTCCCTGGCACTATTGAGATGACTTGGAACGCAGGAACTCGCACACATAGGCTTCTCATTGGTCGCTATGATGGAAAGAATCTCATTTGGGAAAGTTCCTCTGCGTCAAAGAAGTGCCGGTAATGCAGCACTATGGTATTTACTTGCCTCTGCAGGAGTCAAGGCCAGAGCTCAGAAAGCATCACTGAGGGTAGGTTGATTGTTGAGAGGCGTAGTACAGAAAATTATCCAATTTTCCGGCAGCGAGACCAGTAACGGAGGCCGGAAGGGGCTATGTTGGTGCTTTTCTGTAGGCCTAGCGGGTTGAAACCTGTTCATGCGCTATTATCATAGGGAAAGCGCCCAGCCTGGCCTGTCCGGCATGCCGACTGCAGATTCACTCCGAACACCAAAGACCTTGAGGCAACAAGCATATGCACCATGCATCTAAACTCACAGATTCTGTATATCAATTTTCTTTCTGAGCCGAGTGTCCCGAAGTTGCGGTGGTGATGAAAATGGTGAGTTTCTTTTTAGACTTCCGCCGTCACAGTCCGTTTATGCCCCCTTTTCCATATTTCACTAACGTCATCTTCTTGGTCGATTCCAGTGCTGCAACGAGCTGCACATATATACCACATAACCAAACACGATGACAAGAGATACAGGGCCTGGTTGGTGCGAGATCCTACTCTTCGAACACGTGTGGCTGTAAACCGGAATCTCTGCCGCAAGTGTCTCCTCAAGCGGAGGCTACGTGGAAAATGCAGAAGTATGCTGTTCGCCCCAGTTCCTCGATGTCCGACAAGTCATCGTACCGCCGGTTATTGAATCGTATGCACTAGGGCCTTGGACATTTGAGAATAGGATCAGTGCTCGATTTGGAAAACCTACCTTTTGTAACCTATATAAGGCCTTCTCCCTCCTTGGTGTTTCAGGCTCTCCCATCTTCTCTTCACTCATTCGGACATCGCCAACACACATCGCCAACGGTTTCTATCACTCAACCTGCTACAGCAACCACTCAGCTCTACCTCACTTCAAGATGTCTCAATTCACGACCGGCGACGTCGCCTTCCTCCTCGAATGGCACCGTTTCGACGAGGGCAAACGAGCTATGCTCGAACGCCTCAACCCAGCTCAGTACATGAAAGGTGCCTGTGGACATCCCGTCATTGTCCTGAAGAAGACCGCAAGCCATGCGCTTGTCACCACTGTCTCGGCCCATGGGTCGGCACCGTGGAATAACTGGCAAGCCCCATGGACCTCCGGCCGCCACTACGCCAGGGTGGCTGATCATTTCCGTTCCTTTGCCGGAACCCAGAGGCCGAACAGCCGAAGGGAGTTCCTTCGCCTTTCCAAGGGTGCTTGGCCCAAGCCAAAGAGTTCTTTCGTTCACGTGGAGAACGTCCTTCTTGTTCCTCTCTTTGCTTTGGGTGACTTCACGAAGCCCAAATGCTGGGAAAGGGATGGGACCATTCTCCATGTGTCCCCGACCAGTATGCATGATCTGATCATGCATATCCAGGTGGCCAACCCCAAGTGGCTTGAGCTGCTTGGCCGACTCGAGTTCCTCGCGGTCAAGAAGCCAAAAGCCATCACGACGAAGCAGCAACCTCCTGTTCCTCCTCCTCCCCCTCCTCCTCTTCTTCTTCCTTCGCCTCCTCCCACTCCTCCCACTCCTCCAGCAGCGATGCCGGCCCCCCCTCCTCAACCAGCCAGCGAGTCTGGCTGGACTGAGGTGGTGAAGAAGAAGAAGAAGAGGTAAACTCTTCGCACCAGCAAGACTTCGAGACGCGCGCGGTGGTGACTTAGCAAACAACGGGGGGGCGTGGTGGTCATACACTTCACCCCTCGGCTGCGGGTCACTTGATCGTCGTTGTCGTCGTCGTCGTTGTTGTTGTCAAAACACTACAAGAATCAGTTGGTTGAAAGAAAGAAGAAGAAGAATAAGTCTCACCCCATCTCGGCTTTAAGTCTGCCCTGCGGACCCTTCTTTCCTCTCACCATCTGTCATTACACCTACCTACCTCTACCATTACCATTTCCGATAACCGTTCCGACCTCTCCATCTTCATCATCACGATCCTTCTCAACCACCCACCTTTACAGCCGGAGGACTCACGATCCGATCGAGCCGAGTCACGAGTTTCAGGTTTTGGTATTTTTTTTTCTCTTTTTTTGGGGGGTAGTTTGTCATACAGGCAGGCTGCCCTTTTTTTTTTCTCTTTTTTTCATCTCCGAAGAAAAAGAAGAAAAAAAGTCCTGCTAGCTCGTTGGCTATGAGCATCTATCTCGACTCTATTTTTTGGAAAGAAGTTGGGATGGAAGGTTCTGGGTTCGATTCCCTGGCGGTCTTCACTCTATCTGGTTCATATCTCGAGGGAGTTGCAAGTCATGTATCGTTAAACATTATGGGTTCGGATGGTCTGAAAGCTTATCTTCAAGTTTGGATGTGTACTGGTATTTGATCGAGGCGAGGAAATTGGATAATGTATTCGTGTGAGAAGATGGACGAGACGTTCTCTTCGTACTTTTTACAATCATGTATTACTCATTGTCGATGCTCAAGATGTGCTGTCTGCTGGTTTCACGATATATATACGAAGTAATAAAACGGACAAGAATTCTAATCGACACATTGAAGTTGGACACATGCCCTGGTTTATTCAGTGAAATTCAAAGACGAACGAAGCGAAGACTTGTTCACGGACAGGAGTTTGCTCGAGACATCGGCGTGGACAGCATATTCGACTCAGGCTCAGGCCCAGGCCCAGGCTCAAGCCCAAGCTAATGTTCCTTTTTAACCCGCAGCGCCTCCTCTGCCTTGGAATCGCCAATTGGGCATTGCGCAAACCGATCAATTGCCTCATTCCTCCCCTTTGTATCGAGGTCGCTCAGTACCTCGTACGTGGCTTGAATGATTCGATCCAGTGAGGGCATAGGCTCGGATCGATCAGCAAATATGGGGCCGGCCAAAACGAGGTTGTTGTTCAGAAGGGTCCAATTGATGTCGCGCTTGTCTTCAATATGGGCCATGACCGCCTGCACCAAGAGAGAATAGTCCTCGGCACAGGCTCAGACTCCCACCACAGCAGCCAGATATGTGGCGACCAAATGTGGTGATATGGAGCAGATCACCGTGCGACAGTCACCTATTTCCCCGGAGCCGAAGAAGAAGAAGAACTCGGAAGCAAGCATCAGCGTCGAGTTCATCGAACTCCCTAGTGGCTCAGATACACTCAGTCAAGTGTTGACGTTCTGGAAGGGAGAAGCCGACAGAATCACCATTGAACGCCCCAGTGATAGTAAGCTTATCAAACCCTCTTTGAAAGAACTAACTTCAAGATCCGCCCAGCCAGCCCAGAGCTAATGAGAGGAGTCTTACTCTTCTCGTTGGTTTTTAGTGGTGGTTGATGAATTGTGCTTTTGTTACTCTATCTCAGTTCCTAAGGACAAAAGCCATGTTCAACTCCGCTTGAGCCAGGGCAACGCTGTGACCCAAGCAGGCCAGGGGGCGGACGTGGCTGGGCGAGTTAGTAAGGGAATTTAGGGAGGATAAGGTGAAGCACCAGGCACGGGAAGGAAAAGAAGACTCACCAGTCGGGCTCTCTGACGAGGCGGGGGTTCTCGCGAAGGACTGCAGCAAAGGCGCGCGCATCCACCGCGGGGGCCGGCTCCGAGGAGTGCGAGGAAGAGCTGGGGGAGGCGGCCGCCTCAGCCTCGGGGTCGGGCGAGGGAGCAAACCCGCTGAAGTCGTCGGGAGAAGCGGGGGCGGCCATGATCGCGGTCGTGAGGATGCGAGAAGGAGAAAGGAAGAACCAGAAAAGGTGGAGGAAGAGACAGTTATATAGGCAGAGGAGGAGGCCCACGGCGGACCTTCGTTCGCAGAGGTCGCCGTTCCGTGCGCTGTCCAGTACCATAGCAACTACTCACCGGCTTTACATTCACCGGCGCCCTCCGTGCTCTAGCCGGTCCGGTCCGTGTCCAAAAGGCCCTCAACAACACGCCTTGCCCGTCCCGTCCGCTTGAGGACTTTAAGCTTGCCCCAAGCATGACCGAGTGCGAGTCGGAGTGTTATTTCGGCGTTGGACCGCGGAATTGGAAATACAACTTTCAAGAGTTCGGTGGACGGAAAAGGCAAATTGAGGATCATGATCACCAAAGGGAGTCTCGGCGGCGGATGTTTGGGAATTCATTGTGCGACGAGTTAGGGTATTGGCAGAAATATACTTGGATTTGTGCGTTGTGAGACAGTTTTCTTCAAATCATGCATTTCGTGCAAGTGGTGCGGCTCTCGAGTCGTCTTTGAGATGTTCGTGAATGAATCGTGCCTTCCCAAGTAGATAATGTGACAGAAGTCCCAGCACTCACTGGTAGAGTTTATCTTCACAGAAACTTTGATGGACTAGGAACGACTAATCATAAAATACAAATTGTTTTGATTACGAGAGACGGATACCGTATTCTTGTCAAGAGGACTTGTTGATGTTTTGCTCATGGAAGATATTACGGAATTCACAGCACTCAATTGGTATTCGACAACCGTAATGATTCATGATCCAGGCTCCTTTGCGAACTCTTCCTACGTTTTTGCACGACTCAAGCACATCTTGTTGGTCCGGATGTCACTGTCTCAATACCGATGTGCTAGGACACTTTGTTTCGCCGAACATCGACAGCTCATGTGTACTGGTCAATGACAACGCGTCGAACACTCGATAGTCACAGTGCAACCGACACCTTGGCCACTTGATACAAGCCTCCCAAACGATCTCCGAGCTCTTCAGTTACTCATAAGGACTGTGACTTGCAAGCGTACGATGTCGCTTTAGTGATACGAACCATTGTCATTCACCATGGCCATGGCAGCGGAACATCCGGCCTGCTCATGGCGATCCAGTTTTGTACTTCGTTAGGCACAAAGTCAGTACAATGACAAATAATCACGTTAGCTCGCGATCCGGGGCTGAATTAGGAAATATCTTTATTACCACCAGTGTAGTTGCTGTGGGACAGGGAGCGACATGACATTGAATGCGAGTAGTACACACCGAAGGGCGTAATCACCCGCTCAATATCCACCAGACCCGAGGTGCGCTCGACTTTACCAAGAGCCAGTGTCACGGCAGATAGAAGACTTCGAGTCACCAATCGATCACTACCATGGCATCAGCGGATAATTAACCCGATTCAACACGCCGCTCGCTATTGTGTTTCATTCCGTTCGGCGACCCAACCGGTTCGGCGTCTTCCTCACACTCAGACACTATCACTCGCACTTACATTCACTATCGCAGCCACGGCTTGTGCTTACCTTGTCTCCCCGCTCGTGCAGTGAATAATTCTGATTGATTGTGAATCTTTTGACACTGCTGACATGTGGCTCTTCAGTCAGGGACCAGACACTGTCCATACCACCGACTCAACATCACTCCCCATATCAATAGAATCCTCCTCTCAAGCTAGAATGCGTGAGATGAAAGAGTGTGTCATTCCCGTTCCTACCACGAAATATTCTTTTTTATCCAAATGAACTTGGTTGAATTTCCATTTTAGGACATATGGAACTTGCCGCACTAGCTACCTAGTATAGTGTCCTTCGAGAGACATTGTCTCAGAGTCCATCGTATCGAAATATGCAACCCACGATCTCGATTGGCTGGATTGCTGACAGGAAGACTGGTTTTTGTCGTTACCCTTACCCACTAATTGGTCTTAGTGTTGCTAAGTGCTGACGGTTTTTTTCTCTCTTTTGGTTTCGCCGCTTACTCACCGATTGCACATGGGTCTCGACCGGGTCTGGAAACTTGGAATCTCACCTCACCTTGTTTGGGCCCACATTCTCGTGTATAGGTATTCACCGTGAGAGGAAGTTTTCCTGTCCCCGAGCGGATTGTCATCCGGTCAGGTTGGGAGGTGATGACGGACAGGTAGAGTCAGCGGAGAGATTTCATTCCATCATGGTTGATGATTGAACACACCAGCATAATCATGGAATGTCGGAAGAGTGTGTAAATCACAAGGTACCTAGTGACCGAAGAAACTCACTTACACAAGCAATGTTCACTCATTCACTGATCTATCAAAGTGATCTGAACTCCACGACTAAACCTTCCAGTAACACCCCTGATCAATACCCGCCTGAAATAGGCTATATCAACAAACCAAATTAACTCCCGAACACCGACAGTCTCACCACAGACAGGCTCACAGCTGAGTGAGAGAGAGCTACGCAGTAGGTAGTTAGAATCTTTACCATTTACCTAGGTACCCTCCAGTAAAAAGCTAAACATGAAGGAAGGCGTGAGACTGCTGCCTGCCCTGCCCTGCCTGCCCTGCCCTGCCCCCCTGCTCCCTGTTTCGCCTTGGTTGGCTTTTGATGATTTTTTGTTACCAGGAAAGGATTAAAAAATCCACAGTTGATCCAGTCTCAAAGGGGAAATCCCGAAGAAAAAAAAAAAGACTCCACCACCAAACTACACTGGGATCTGCTCATCGCAATCATTCACATTCCTACGTTTCCCGTTTTACGAGGCTCCGAAGCTCGTCATATAGGTAGGTACACTACCTAGAAATTCGCCTTGTCGAAACCCAGTTAGCTGGGCTAGGAGGGAGAAGGAGGAGGAGGGTGTGGCGATGGAAGCCTGATCATAACTCTTTATTTTATCAATGTACATGTAGGTTTCGGTACTAAGAAATGGAGGTGAGGCCCAAAAGTTACCGGGGGAGGGGGGGTTTGTTAGTGGTCCGGGAAACGGAGGTGTGACTGACTCTGATCAGCTTGATGAGTTCGGTCGATTGTGTGATGATGTGTGTATGAACGTGGTGAGCTAAATGTCCAGCCCGCAAGTTCCACATCATCGATCTATCATCGTGATCATTTTCATGGTTCTAGAGTAGAAGGGTTATAGACATGCTCACCGCACCCGTGACCTGTCCCTCCTGCTGGGTCGTGCAGCATGCTGACCGTAAGGGGCCCACTGTTGCTGATGAATTGTCACTAACCCGCCAGTAGCGCCAGGGCTGAAGAGTGAAGAACTCAACCGCCGCAGTTCACTTCACTGTACTGTACAAGTACCTAACCGCCGCAACACCTCCGGGATGGTCACCGGATCACCGAGCCGCCCACACGGGTTGCCCGGG